CACGAAGCGGCAGCCACCCTCTGGGGGAAGAACAAGGCACATACGGAGTTTCAAACACTGCCCGGTAGGTGCTGCCAGTGCTCTGCACTCTTGGGGAGACTGTTGAAGAAAAGACTACCCAGGCTATTATGATGCCTATTAACGAGTGTCTGACTGAGTTATATTTTGTAATTGTGTGATCGCATAAAACTCTCATTTTATATACACACATAAAGTTTTCACTTTTTTTTTTTTTTGGAGAGGTTTTTGCTGTGCGCTCGCCAGAGAGACAGAGAGAGACAGAAAGTGAGACATCACCCCCCCAGGGGGGATGGTCACGCCGCAATCCCTTCTCCTCCATTCTCCTCTTGGGATCTTGGGCACGCATGCACATGCACCCGGCGTGAGTTTAAGCCACCGGGTCCAGGACTCGAATCGCAGTTGACTACATGGGAGTCCAGCGACACAGCCATTATGCCAACTGCTGGTCCCAAAGCGGCTAAAGAAGCTGGATCCCAAATGGGCAACCAGGGATTCAAATCTCAGTCCCAGCAGCCTGAAAAATATGTTGGGCTCCTGTGTGTGCCCCACATCCAGACAGGAGAGAGAAACGGAGGAGAGGGGATTGTAGAGTGATCGCGCCCCTTGGTGGGTGCTTTCTCTCTCTCTCTGGTGAACACATGCATTCTCTCACAATTTAGAAAACAAGCTATATAAGAGTTTATATATTTTATAAAGTTAGCATAAAGTATAAACCACATGAATGAAGCCCAAATCAGGGAAAACAAACACTGAAAAATAAGCTTCTTTTCTTTTATTCTATAGGGTATACGCAATTGCCGGAGAGACAGGGAGAGAGGGAATCATCCCCCATGAGGTATGGTCAGCCCATCATTCCTTCTCCTCCATCTCTCCCTCCTTTCAGAATTCTGGGCATGCACATGCATGTGCCCAGAAACCACCAGGTCTGGGTATCGAACCACACAGTCAGCCATAACCATCCTGATAGACGTTGTGGCCTCTCTCAGGATGGAGGTGCCCTGGGTTTTATTACTCGCTGGCTCCCTTGACCATTAGGCCAAGGGTTGACCCCACACACTGACAAAAATAATTTTCTCCTGGGCAGGTGTACTCACCGGAGAGACAGAGACAGAGGGAGCAAAAAGGAGAAATCACCCCACAGAGGGAATGGTCACACTGCAATCTCTTCTCCATTCTCCTCTGGGGTTTTGGGCGCTGATGCACATGCGCCCAACATATTTTTCAAGCTACTGGGTCTGGGGCTCGAACTGTACCGGCAGCCATATGGGATTCAGCTGCCCTAACCACTATGCCATTGACTGGTACACACTGACCTCGTAGTCAGCAAAAACCACGTGGGTAGACACGGTGGATCAGACACTGAGCACTCTTCCAGGCAAACGGAGAAGATGACTGAGCGGATCAGGAGTCTGTCCACAGCCTGAGGAGGAGCAACCACATGGTCCTTTCAGTCATCCAAGTGTAGGCGGGCTTAAGCAATGACTAGGGGGTATAAGCTACACTGAGAAGGAAGACGGACATCGGGAGGAGCTGACGGTGCACGTCCCCTGGACATCGTTTCTACGATGAGGTCAGGTCCTGGAGCGGGGAAGAACGAACGCTTCCTGTGTCTTGTCATGGAGCCCACTGCATCAGCCTGGCCAAGGCTCGCAGGGCGTGGAGGGCGGATGGAAACTTAAGGGAGGGCTGGGGACAGGGACAGTGGAAATTGCAGGGCCCTCTGTTCCAAGCCTTCCTTCTGGGAGGACCTGGTTCTCTTCGAGGCCATCCTAGTTAGGAACTCGAGAAAACCAGCCCACAGAGAACATAATCAAGCTGGAGATGATGCATCAGAGCCATTCAACCCCACACAGTCAGACCCTCTCCAGCACCCCTGCCCTGCGAGAGGCCACCGCTTCTTTACATTATTTCAAGAATTATTTAATTGTATTTATTATTTTATAGTA